AAAATTCATTGGCAAACCATCCCTGCGGCGTGCATTTGGGCGGCAGACCAACTGCAGCCGCCCCCCTGATGTTTCTGGTGACCTCATGCCAAAGAATACGCGTAGGCACTCTTCAAGCCTATAGCGCACTTGCCAATCAGTGCAATTGCTCGTTCTCGTCGTCGGATGCCGTCTCCATGCGTATAATTCCTCCCTGTCGCATCCAAGGACGTGCCAATAGGGCGGGCCAAGCGTTTCACCTGAAACTGCCGCACCATCTCTGATTCTGAAGCCCGAACTTTGCAGCAAGGATGAAGGGCGCGTCCTTTTTTCAAAATGCAGCGATCGTCTTAGCGCCACACACGTTCGTCTTAAAACATGTTGCATATATTGTACAGTTGGCGAGTACTTTTCAACATGTGGAATTCGCCTGGGCGCCGCACGAATTCGACTTAAACATTCACTGCAACTTTACACATGGATGGCGGGCCTTTTTCAACATGTGTGTGGTTTCCGCCTTCGCACCGCACGCACTCATCTGACATTGTACAACCGTTTTCAACCTAGAGGGCGAGCCTTTTTTTTTTTTCAACATGTGGCTCTCAGCTTAGCGCCGCGCGCCTTCGTTTCACAAGTTCGCAACCGTGCGTCCTTTTCAAGGAGGCGTAGGGCTGACGAATTATTGTGTACTGGCACGATTTAGGATTGCCAGGCCGCCACCGCCACGCTGATTCACAGCGCTATAGAACCAGGAATGGCGTTCTGACAATATTGAAAGTTGCCAGGACGCAACAGTCACGGTGATTGTGTGATGAAGTCCCCGGAAATATATTCAGGGACGACTGAAGATTGCCAGTGCGGTGCGTAACAATCGTGCTGACCCTTTTGTGTTGAAGTCGCAACAGTATTTGTTTCCTGGCGCGGCTCAAGACTGTCATGGCGCAGCGGTGGCGCTGATAAGCGGCGTCATGGCCAGAATCTTGTCGTTTTGGCACGACTGGGGGTTCCCAAGCAGTTGTTTTCAAACTAGGCCCCTCTCGCAATAAACCTGTGATCCGTCGATACGCGATACGAGGAACAATCTAGGTGGTGCAACCTACGTGGTGCAAGGGAAGCTGCCAAACCCATGTTGCGCAATTTGGGTTGTGCAGCCTATGTTGTGCATTATTTGTGGTCTAATCGACGTGGTTCAGTCTGCGTGGTTCAATCCACGTTGGGCGATCCATGTGGTGCAGATTATGTGGTGTAATCGACGTGGTGCAACGTATGCGGTGCAATTGCAAACAAGTTGACACACTCCATGCTCTGGCAAACATCCCACCCACCCACCCGCAACTTTGCTCGCAAAACCCATGCGGTGGCGATTGCGATGCATGCTTGGCGTTGGCTGGTGTATCTCTGCGACCGCGCCAACCAAAGCGCGCGCGCAGCGGCCAGCTAGTTTGGCGTGACCGACGCGGCCGCGGTGGCGCTGACCGCTGGGTACATCCCATCGGGCGCTGTATCATGGCAACGTCGACAGCGGTAGGTACTGTGATAATCGTAGCGATGATGGCGGCGATGTTGACAACGACGACGGCGCGGCCAGTGCGGCCGCCGACGCCGGCGACGATGACGGCGTCATCGCGTCGGTGATGGAGGTTTTGGAAAAAGTTCGACATGCGCGCGCGGCCGACGCGCGAGAGTGGCCCACATGGTCTTATTTGACACGGATCGTGCCCCCCAATCACGCGCGCAAGGGCGCGCGAATGATTTCGGCATGCGGCGGCAGAGGCCCGCTTGGCAGAATTCCATGAACCTGTTGAAACAGCTACTGATTTTTCTGGAAATCTGCCAGGGCGCGAGCGCACGCTTTTTTGAAAACTGATGTTGCGAAACCATGCGTTTGTATATGTGTTTGGACACTCGGTTTTAAAATCGCTACGAAACCGACGGTGTTTGACGGATTTCGGCATGCGCGCGCGGCGACGCGCACGCGTGCACTTCGTCACATATGTTGCAAAGGATTCTCGCGACGGCACGCGCGCAGGGGCGCTCGAAAGATTTCGACATGCTCGCGCGCGAAACCCATTTGGCAGTTTTTTTCTGAAAATGACGAAACACTTATGGTCTGCTTCGGAATTCGCAAAACCGCGCGCAAGCTTTTTGAAAACCCGTGTTACGACACCCGGTGTTGTTTTTGAACATGTTTTGGACATTCGATTTTGAAGCCCTCACGAAACCAAAACGGTTTTCGAAGGATTCCGGCACGCGCCCGCGACAACGCGCGCGTGACCACTTCGTCCCAGTAGTATCGCCACGTTCTTGATACGCGAATGCGGGCGCATACCATTTTCGGAAGAAAACGGCGGGAGGGGATACCGGCCTGGCTGGGATGGTCCGAATTCATATTTCAGATGGACGACGGGGCAGAATCATATGTAATTTGCAATACGGAAAGGAGGCGGATAATCCCCGGGGGGGGGGTCGGGTCCGTTCTCTTTGTCAAAAAGGAGAACTGACATTTTACAAATGAACTGACACATTCCATTCTTTTTGCAAACATCCCACCCACCCACCCGCAACTTGATTTGCAAAGCTTACGCGGCGTTGGCTGGTGCACCTCTGCGGCCTCGCTAGCCCGCGCATGATCGCGCGCACAGTGGCCAGCTAGTTTGGCGCGACCGACGCGGCCGCGGTGGCGCTGACCGCTGGGGACTTCCCAGCGGGCACTTCCGTGGTGGCGCTGACCGCTGGGGACTTTCCAGCGGGCACTTCTGTGGGAGTCGGTGAATTGGGCGGGCGCGGTATCATGGCGACGCCGACAACGGTAGACACGACGAATGGGGAGCAGCGATGATGGTGACGATGGTGGCGATGACGGCGGCAAGGCCGATGACGGCAGCGATGTCGATCACGCCTGCCGATAACGACGACGATGTCCTCGCGTCAGCGATGGAGGTTTTTGTCGGCGGTGGACAAACCTCCCTCTAATAAACCTCCCCTTCATGAAAACGGCATGGGACCGAAACCGACGGACCTGGACCCGCAAAAATGACGGCCGCGACGCCCTCTCGCGAACCGAAAACGGCCAACTCCTCAATCGACGTGTCAGGGTAGGAGGTCTGTCCACCCCCGTTTTTGGAGGAGCTCGACCTGTGCGCGCGGCCGACGCGCGCGACTGGCCCGCGCGGTATTATTTGGCGCGGGTCGTGCCGCCCCCCGAGCACGCGCGCAGGGGCGTTCGAGGGAGGTCGACACGCGGAGGGAGAGGCCCGTTTGGCAGAATGTGATGTCGATGTTGGAAAACTGGTGGCATCTCGAGAATCCTTACCAGCCTCGAACGTATCCCTATCCTTAAGATTGACACGCCAAACGGCGATGACAATCTTAGGGATTCGCCCTCAAAAAATAAGGGAACCCCTAAGATTGGCATCGTGATGAGGAGGTGCCCAGCATAAGGATAGGGATATGTTCCAGGCTGGTAAAATCCGCAGGACCGCGAACGCAGATTTCTAAAACTGATGCTGCAAAACGGTGTGCTTTGAACTGTTCTCGGGGCACTCGTATGTTTAAACCCGTGCACAACTCAAACTTGCTGTTTGCTTGAAGGGTTACGGCATGCGCGCGCGACGGCGCGCGCATGTGCGTTTCGTCCCATTTGTTGCAATGGGGTTCTTGCGACAGCACGCGCGCAAGGGCGTTTGAACGATTTCGACAGTCTTACGGATTCGCAAGAGCGCGGGCGCAGGTTTTTTGTGAAAAACAGTGCTGCGATTTGTTATATGAAAAACCTTTCGTGCCTCTTGATTTTGAAATCCCTCCGAAACCTAAGGTTTCTGAAGGACTTCGGCATGCGCGCGCGACGACGCGGGCGTGTACATTTCGTCCAGTTGCTTTGCCAGGGGTTATTGGAAGCTCATAATAAGTGATAAACGTGCGTGCGCAGATTGCATTCCTTGCAGAGGATGACGGGTGGGGTCGAACTCCAGCCTGGCTGGGACAGTCCGAATTCATATTTCGGATGGACGATGGCGTAAAATCGTTTGCAAACTGCAATACGAAAAGGTGGCCCGTTCACCCCGGGGGGGGGGGTAGATCCTAATACTCTTTCGAAAAAGAAAATCTAGTCGGTGCAATCGGAGCCGCCAAACCAAACCTCAGGCCCAGACGATTGGCGGCGACGGGGCGGCGACGGCGACCACGGAGCCGCCTAGACGACGGGCAGCGAGGAAGCGGCGACGGGGCAGCGATGGCGACCACGGAGCCGCCAAACCAAACCCGAGGCCCAGACGGCGGGCGGCGAGGAGGCGGCGACGGGGCGGCGACGGCGACCACGGAGCCGCCAGACCGACCCCGAGGCCCAGACGGCGGGCGGCGAGGAGGCGGCGACGGGGCGGCGACGGCGACACCACGTAGCCGCCAAACCCACCCTCAGGCCCAGTCACCCTAAAGCAAGAAGCAAGAACGCTTACGTAAATGCAAGCGCTGTTTGGGGAATCAGTTCTTGTAGGGGCCTATGAAGAGGGAACTTGGAGGGAGGGTGTATCGCAACATCGTTGATGAGTCTTGTGTTTGCACTTGTTCGCCTCCTCCCCCTCCTCCTCCTGCCCCTCCTCCGCCTCTCCACGCTTGGCGGTGCGCCCAAATGCGGAAGGCAGAGCGGGCGGGCCTTCTCAGAAGGCTCAGGACACCTGCGGCCTTCCGAGCTGCTTTCCAAGCCTGCCCCGAAGCCGTGGACGGCCTCTTGGAAGCCTGGAGGACCCCCGCCAGGCCCCGCCGACTTCTGCGGAGGCCTGCCCCCCCTTCTCACTTTCCTCCTCGGAACGCCGCCGGAGGAGGCTTCCGGCTCCTGGCTCGGGGCCCCAGCGGCCGTTCGGGACGCTCCGGGCACCCCAGGAACGCTCTCGTCCAAGCGCAGCTGCTGGAAAGCACCCCGAGGCGAGGCCGGAAAACCTCGGGGAAGCGACGACAACGTCAGACAACACCGAGCTTCGCCCCCTCGGCGCGCCGCCGACACGCTCCCCTCCGCAGCCGAGCGCCTTGCCCGTAATGAGGGGCTCGTACTGCTGCTCGAGCCAGCTTCCCTTGCTGAGGCCCCCGATGAAGGACAGCAGCACGACCCCGCCGCCCTGGTTGGAGAAGGTCGCACGCGGAGGGCGAGCGTCACCGAGCAGCACTCGTTAGAATGTTGACACGGCTTTGGTTTCCGAGGCTTTGGCTTCCCTAGAAATATCCACATGTTTCGATGCTGCTTCTGTTGGAAAACGCACGCGCCGTTCGCATCACGAGCCGAATGAAACGAGATGGCGAAGCTGTCCCGCAACCCCAATCGAGAGGTGGTGACGGCCGATGCTGTACGATGCAGCGCTGTACCTCCCAGGCCGAAGCTAGGCGGGGGTGGGGGGAGGGGCGAACCAAAACAGTCGCTGTGCTGCCATGAGGAGCGCAACGTATCGGCTACACGCAAGAGTGACCCTGGGTAAGAGTGACCTTTGGTGCGCGGCTTTTTGGGGGCCGCGGGGGGACCAAACCGAGGCGCGCAAGCCGCTGCTCCTGCTTCGTTTTCAGCCATCTGGGGACCCATCTGTTCCCGCACCAAAAGTCACTCCGGCGAAGGGTCACTCTTACGTCTAGTCGAAACGTAAGGAACGAGGGGGCCCTTTCTGGCCATGGCTGGCCTCGGCCACGAGGAGGCTCCCCGACCTGGATCTGAGGAACGGCCCGAGAACCACAGACCCTTCCGAGCCGAGCGTGGTCCTCAGTTCAGCGTCTCGACTGTCAGATCGTCCAATGGCTCAAACGTGGACAGTGTCACCAAGGTGGCCCAAGTCTAGCAGGGATTGCTTCCAGCACGCGCCCAAGAGGTCCCACAATCCAGCAACCCTGACAGCCCCGAGTGACCACGGAGCCTCACAAAGACACCCCGATTGGACAATACATCTGTTCAAAACCTCAAGGGAACTAATGATTTGTACATGTATAGCCCGCCCGCTGGCCATGGGCACCTGAGCTTCCAAGATGGAGCCCCACATACAGCACAAGAGAGCCCCAAGAGAGGACAATGCGGCTCTAAGCGGGGCCCAAGAGCGCTCCAACATCGCCCAAAGAGGGCCTCCAGAGGCGGCTTTCCAAGTCCAAGGGAGGCAGTACCAGTAGGGGGCCCATACCTCCCAAAACTCAAATCACCAAAGAACCATATGTGTTCGAAAGATTTCAACACATCGGCGACAACTTTGGGAGACTTGTTGTCCAAACTCGTTCCAACATGGCGACAGATAGCCTGCGATAGCCCCCAAGATGGACAAATATGCCTATGTAGGGTCACGCACGGGCAAGGAAACTCAGTAAATCATCGCATGCGCTGAAGGGACTCACGACTAGAAGGGAAGAAAGGGACGAAAGGCAGCCTTCATGGCGTACTGCATCCTGACATCGATGTTGACTCACAATCGAGACCCAGACTGCTTCTCCTGAGGTGCGTTCAGGCCAGAAATCAGACAAGATTCAACCAAGTCGAAAAACACCGCCCACATGCCCAGGAAAAGCGAAGCACACATCCCAGACGGGGGCTGCCCCCGCAGAAGCGGACCGGCCTGGTCCGCGAAGTTGATCAGCGTGGAAATCCTGGGGCCCCAGAAATGGACATACCCAGTGCTTCCTCCTCGCCCTCCTCCGGTCCCTCCTGCTCCTCCTCCTCCTCCTTTCCTTAACTCCTCCCTGTCGCACCCCGAGGCCAGTCGAAAGGGCGGGCCGGGTGTTTCGCCTGAGACTTCCTCACCACTTATGACCCTGAAGCTTACACAGTGGGAACAATTTCACAGATGGAGGTCGGGCCGTTTTTCAAAATGAGGCTCTCGCCTTAGCGCCGCGCATATTCGTTATCAAAGCTTACAAGAGTTTCGCGGGTTGAGGGCGGTTCTTTTTTTCAAAATGTGGCTCTCGCCTCCCCGCCGCACACAGTGTACAAAGTTGCAAGAGTTTCGCGGGTTGAGGGCGGCTCCTTTTCAAAATGCGGCTCTCGCTCTAGCGCCTAACATATTCCTTGTTAGAAATGGATTTCACGAATTCTAATTGTCAGCGTACCAAAAGTGGTGTTTTGAAACGTTTCAGGATGATGAAGGTGCATATGTTCCTTGGATTCGCGGTGTTGAAGTCCCAGGAATGGAGTTCTGGCACGATTCAGGATCGTCAAGACGCAACAGTCAGGTTGATCTGTGGTGGAGTCCCGAGAATGATGATGTGGCACGTTGCAGGCTCTTCAAACGGCTGTCTTCCAACGAGGCAGTTCACTCAGTGAAAATGAACCGGTGTAGGGGCCTATGACGAGGAAGCTTGGAGGGAGCGTTTATTCCAACATCGTTGATGACTCTTGGATTTACACTGGTCCCCTCCTCCTCCTACTCCTCCTCCTCCTCCTCCTCCCCTAATTTCCCCCCCCCCCCCCTCTCTTTCAGGAGGCGAGGAGAGAGGGAGGCACTGGATGTGTAAGCATTCGGCCACGCGCACAAGCGACCCTAGGCAAGAGTGGCCTTTGATGCG